ATTTTTGATTTCACTTTTGAAAGAAATTTGTCTGATATAGGATTCTAAGTCAATAGGTGTTTTTTCCTCAATTGTTTTTTTTTTTCTTTTTCCCCTTCAGCAATTTAAAGATTTTTCTATGTTTTTTGCCTTGTGTAATTTCAGGAGAGAAGTCTGTAGTTATTTCCATATTCAAGTCTTTTTTACATTTTTTTTTTTCTGGCTGATTTAGAATTTTTTCTTTTAATATTAGCTTTCAGCAATTTGATTATGATGTCCTTTGGTGTGATTTTATTTGTATTCTGCTTATAATTTGTTGAATTTCTTGGGTCTGTGAGTATAGTAGTCATCATAAAATTTGACAATTTTAGCCTTTTTTCCTCAAATATTTTTTTTCCCTCTACCTCAGGCTACAATTACACATAATTTAGGCTGCTTGATATTGTTCGCTAAAGCTCTGCTTATATTTTTTTAAACTTTTCTTTTTTGCGTAATTTTGGGTAGTTTCTGTTGCTCTGTCCTCAAGTTCATTGATAATTCTGCAATTTTAATATGCAAGAGCTGAAGTGAAAATTTCACTGGACGGTATTAGTTGCAGTTTAAACACTGCAGAAAAAAGTAAGTTTATTGATAATTTCTTTCTTTCTTTCTTTTTTTTTTTGAGACAGAGTCTCGGTTTGTTGCCCAGGCTAGAGTGAGTGCCGTGGCATCAGCCTAGCTCACAGCAACCTCAAACTCCTGGGCTCAAGCAATCCTCCTGCCTCAGCCTCCCGAGTAGCTGGGACTACAGGCGTGCACCACCATGCCCGGCTAATTTTTTCTATATATATTAGTTGGCCAATTAATTTCCTTCTATTTATATAGTAGAGACGGGGTCTCGCTCTTGCTCAGGCTGGTTTCGAACTCCTGACCTCGAGCAATCCGCCCGCCTTGACCTCCCAGAGTGCTAGGATTACAGGCGTGAGCCACCACACCCGGCCGATGATTTCTTAGTTGTGGGGTAAATTGGCTCTAAAGAAAAAGTTACTCTAGGCTTGAACTAAAAAAATGTTTATAAATAAGCCATAAGAGATTCAGTGATGCACAAGGAACTTAACTACTGGACAGAACAAAGTCAAACATCATTCAGCACTCAATTCATAATATCTAAAATTCATAATATCTGACATCCAATAAAGAGACCTTCTGAGGTCTCTCTTGAATGTCCTGTCTATTCAGTGATGACTTTATTTTGGTTGGTGAAAATGTGAATAATTCTTAGCCTTGAGTGAGCTCTGGGACCTGTTTTGCTTATAGTAATTGTTTGCTCTCAATTGTTTTGCTCTCTAGTGATTTTTTTTTTACTCCAAAATTGTTCTTTGTCCAGCTTTGTAGTGTTTTACCATACACGCATGTAGATTGATATTCAGTTAAAGACTTAAGAGGACTGCTGTGCCAATTTCTGGAGTTCTTTCTCAGTGAAGAACTTTCTTTTCTGCTTCTCTGTCCCCAAAATTTTAGTCTTCCCTGTCTTTTCCAAACTGACAGCCAGGATTTCTTTGGATTCCCCCTATGGTCAGAATTGCCTCCAGGTACAACAGTGGTGTGATCTTAGGTTACCTTGTTTGTTTCCCCTTTGACAGGGATCACAGAGATTGTTTGAGCAAGAAAGTTTCTGTGAATTACCCAGTTCATCAAGTGGGAGTCTACCCTAGCTCTCTGAAGAATTTCTTTTGCCAGTTTGTATATACAACTTTTAGGAATGTAGATAAAAATCAAATACTTATTTAAATTTTTAATTACCTATTCACATCCCATGGAGGAGGGCAGAGCTGAGAGAGCAGTAGAGATGTGCAGTTTCTGACTGAAGCTATGAACTTCTTGGTCAAATAGGTCCAAAGTTAGCTAATTGGAATAATCAGTTTTAAGATCTGATAAATTTGCCTAAACCTGTTTTGAGTTAGGTTTTCTGTTGTATGTAATCAAAAACATCCTAACTAATAATATTAGAAAAATTCCCATCATTTTTCCTATTGTGAGATTAATGTGTTTCCCTGATCCATTCATTCCTTTGCTCGCTCCCTCTGGCTCATGCCTTCTAATCCTTTCTCCCTATCTAAATAATGCCCATCATTTTGCCCCAGTTCTGATTCCCCCCTCTTTAGTTGGTGTTAATTTTAGTTGGCATGACTTGACAAAGATCTTTGTCAATTATCCACCATGGCTGTAAGTGGTCTCTCTTACAACCTACTTTATTTTTCATTGTAAGGAAAATCAAACAACACTATTAAGGTAAAAGAAAAGCCCTTCATTTCTAGTCCCACCCTCCAGGGCAGAACCTCTTAGTACTTCAGATTTCCCAATATTTTTCTGTGTATATTTAACAATATATGGCTTATTTGGTTATCACTAATTTTGGTTACCATATTGGAGAGCACAATTCTATAGGCTCAATCACATTTAAATTTTATTTTTCTTTTAGCAAGAATATTTCAAGAATGATTATGTAGGCAGGATGTGGTGGCTACACCTATAATCCTAGCACTCTCGGAGGCAAAGGTGGAAGGATTGCTTGAGGTCAGGAGTTCAAGACAAGCCTTAGCAAGAGCAAGACCCTGTCTCTTTTTTAAAAAAAATTAAAAATGAAAAAAGAAATTTAAAAAAATTAATGATGATGTATATTTCATAGTGCATCAAGAAACACAAACTGTCTGGTGGTTTCTTTTTGTGATATTTAGAAGGATGAGTAATTTGGGTATTGTATGTCTGTTCTACCTTGAGCTTTTCACTGAATGATTTTATCAATTTCATTCTTTTAACTTGTCATAGATAGTTATTTCACTGCATGTTAATATAGCAAGATAATAATAGATCTTTAAAAGGCCAGGCTAGAGGCTGGGAAAGAAGTGTGGGGGAGAAGATGAAAGGAATAAGAAAAAGCATGTAAATATCTTTATTATCACTGAAATGAACACTTAAAAATGATAAATATGGTAAATTATATATATTTTTTACCTCAATAAAAAACAAATTTAAAGACAAAGGCCAGGCTCTGGAGCCAGACTGCCTGCCACATATGACTTTTAGCATGTGAGTACACATCTTTGTGCCTCAGTTTTTTCCACTGTGAGGGGCCTAACAGGATTATTCTATTAATTAAATATGTTAAATGTTTAACACAGTGCATGACATAGTGCATGACATAGGCCAGTAAATATTAGTTGTTACTAACATATCAGTTTAAAAGTTTGATTTTGCTGTCTGTTCACTTTGGCATTTGTTTGCATGGAGAATGTGTTATTGGATAATATTCATTGTTATTCTGTTTGGCAGTGAAACCAAGTCTCCTTGGTGAGTAGGAAAACAAAGTATCATTTAAATGATAAGAAACTTCTTATATCTCTAGTATGCATGATTTTTGAATAAGAAAAAAATTAGCCTTAAAGGCTTTGTTACACTGGGGTTTGTAATGAAGAAAAGAAACATTGAACATAATTAGATATGTATCCTAGATGTTAGGAAAGAAATTGCAAAAGACAGAAAGAAATGAGTGCATGGTTTTTGACAATGAAAGTCTGTATGGTTTTTTGGGATGAGAATTAATAAACATGAGAGTATACAATCCCATAGAATTTGAGAAAGGAGAAGTTTCTAAAAGCACAATGTGGTGATGCAAGGGAACTCCTCAGATAAATACAGCATAGATTTAGTAGTTGGAAGGGGAGATGTAGAAGTAAAGATGATTAGAAAACCATATAAACACTGGCTGGAACCACATAATAAGAAGTTTTTAGAAAATGCTTAAGACAACATAAGTTTTTTTTTGAGACAGAGTCTCAATCTGTCATCTGGGCTAGAGTGCCATGGTGTCAGCCTTACTCACAGCAACCTCAAACTCCTGGGCTCAAGCTATCCTCCTGCCTCAGCCCCACAAGTAGATGGCATTATAGGCACACACCCCCATGCCTGGCTAATTTTTCAATTTTTACTAGAGATGGGGTCTTACTTGCTCAGGCTGATCCCAAACTCCTGACTTCAAGTGATCTTCCTGCCTCAGCCTCCCAAAGTGCTGGGTTTACAAGTGTGAGCCACTGTGCTCATCTAACATAAGTTGTTTTTTCAAGGTAATATGTCAAATAAGATTAAGCTTCAAGAAGATAATCAGATTTTTAAGAGGTATAGAACCATCAGTTTGCATTTTAAAATTGCCTGATTGAGTAAGGAGAAATAGTCTTTGAGTTGAAACAGAAGTAATAATAGTATAAAAAGAAGTATAGGCTATGATAGTTAATAAATAGTAAGCGAAACATCTGACCACTTTAAGTGCATTTCATTTCATATAAATTAATGTCTTCTCTAGCTGCTGGTGGGCTTACATAGCTTATGAAACCATTGAATACTCTGAGAATTTCATGAGAAATATAATTGGTACCCGGAGATGATCAGATGCTATCTTGAATTTTTAGAAAGGAGAAAATGTAGGTTTTGGAAATTTCCAGATTTTACAAGCCAGTAAACCTGTTGTTGATCTTTGGTAAACTTCTAGAAATAAATTTCAGAAGTTTGTGAAAATTTATGGAAGAATAATGAAGTTGCAATGAGCTGTGATGATGCCACAGCACTCTACCCAGGGCAACAGAGTGAGACCCTGTCTCCAAAACTACAACAAAAAAATACCAAATTAACCATTTCTTTTAATAGGATGATCAGTTTGGATGGATGAATTAGAGAAATACAATAGAAACAGTTTCTTAATTTTAGTGAAATATATATATGGTCAAATCTAGTGCATTTCTATCTTTCTCTTAATACATTTTGATACTGTGTATGTAATATAAATTCATTAAATTATGAATTAAATTGGTTACTTCAGGAAAAAAAACCCTTGACTTTTATTTTTTGTCTGCCTCATATTTTTACCAAATTTATGAACTGTATATGTATCCCTGATTATAACATAATATCCTTAATGGTGCAGATCTAATAATACACACTGAAAATGGGAACAATCTTTGCATAAAGTATGATTTTATTTACTCTAGGAATATGAAGCACGAACAGGGAGGACTTGTAAACCACCACCTCAGTCTTCAAGACGTAAGAATTTTGAATTTGAGCCACTTTCTACCACTGCCCTGATTCTTGAGGATCGACCATCGTAAGTATCATGTGATGATTGATACTTTGATCATTTGACCATTTAGTGATCATCAGGAACACTGTTTATATTTTAAACTCAAATTTAATTTTGCTCACTATTTCACTTAAAGGATATCAAGAAATTAGATACACAAAGGTATTTATTTTTAAAAAACTTTTTTTTGAGATGGGGTCTTGTTCTGTCACCCGGCTAGAGTGCAGTGGCGTTATCATAGCTTGCTGCAACCTCAAACTCCTGGCCTCAAGTTATCCTCCTGCCTCAGCCTCCCAGTTGGCAGGGACTACAGGCATGTGCCACCATGCCTGGCTAATTTCTCTATTTTTTGTAGAAACTGGATCACTTTTGCTGAGGCTGGTCTCAGACTCCTGGCCTCAAGTGATCCTCCTCTGACTCAGCCTCCTAAAGTGCTAGGATTACAGGCGTGAGCCATCAGGCCTAGCCAAAAAAAAATTTTTTTTAATCCTAGTCATGTCTCCTAAAATTAATAAGGGAAAATATCTTGTTCTTAGATTTTTTTGTTTTTGTTTCTTTTTAAGAGACGGGATCTTGCTGTGTTGCCTTGGCTTGTCTTGAACTCCTAGGCTTAGGTGATCCTTCTACCTCAGCCTCTCAAGTCGCCAGGATGACAGGCCTGGCAGAGAATCTGTTGTCGATGTCCAAACCTTATGCAGAAATCTAGAAGTCTTTATAGTCAGTATATGAAACATAAAATATCTTGGCTGCTTATGTCTGTTTGTATTTCAACCCTCTGTGCCTTATCTTAATATGATAGGGCAATTATTTTTCCTTTCTTGACACTTAAGATGTACTTATCCTTGCCTTTTATACTGTGTAACTTCTGAATATCAACCAGTTGGTTTACTGTTTTGGTTTTTTTTTTTTTGATAGAAAGAACCTAGGTTCTTTTTTTTTTTTTTAGTTTATTATGGGGGTACAAGTGTTAAGGTTACATATATTGCCCGTGCCTCCCCCCCCAAGTAAGAGCTTCAAGTGTGTCCATCCCCCAAATGTTGCACATCTTACTCGTTGTGGTTGTATATACCCATCCCCTCCTCCCCTCCACCCTCCCGACACCCGATAAATGTTACTCCTATATGTCCACTTACGTGTTGATCTGTTAATACCAATTTGCTGGTGAGTACATGTGGTGCTTGTTTTTCCATTCTTGAGATACTTCACTTAGTAGAATGGGTTCCAGCTGTATCCAGGAATATACAAGAGGTGCTATATCAACATTGTTTCTTAAAGCTGAGTAGTATTCCATGGTATACATATACCACACTTTATTAATCTACTCATGAATTGATGGGCACTTGGGTTGTTTCCACAGCTTTGCAATTGTGAATTGTGCTGCTATAAATTTGAGTGCAGGTGTCTTTTCATAAAGTGACTTTTGATCTTTTGGGTAGATGCCCAGTAGTGGAATTGCTGGATCAAATGGTAGATCTACTTGTATTGCTTTGAGGTATCTCCATATTGCTTTCCACAGAGGTTGAACTAGTTTGCAGTCCCACCAGCAGTGTGTGTTCCTCTCTCTCTGCATCCCTGCCAGCATTTGTTGTTTGGGGACTTTTTGATAAAGGCCATTCTCACTGGAGTAAAGTGATATCTCATTGTAGTTTTGATTTGCATTTCCCTGATGATTAGAGATGTTGAGCATTTTTTCATATGTTTGTTGGCCATTATTCTGTTATTATTAAGAATACATTGTCTCTTAGAGGCCGGGGCTGGAGGATAGCTTGAGGTCAGGAGTTCAAAACCAGCCTGAGCAAGAGCGAGACCCCATCTCTACTAAAAATAGAAAGAATTAAGTTGCATAAAATATACATACAAAAAATTAGCCGGGCATGGTGGTGCATGCCTGTAGTCCCAGCTACTCAGGAGGATGAGGCAGGAGGATTACTTGAGCCCAGGAGATTGAGGTTGCTGTGAGCTAGGCTGATCCCATGGCACTCTACCCTGGGCAAAAGAGTGAGACTCTGTTTCAAAAAAAAAAAAATTATATATATATATGTATATATACATATATATATATAAAATTAGCCAGCCATGGTGGCCCATGCCTGTAGCCCCAGCTACTTGGGAGGCTGAGGCAGAAGGATCGCTTGAGCCCAGGAGTTTGAGGTTGCTGTGAGCTAGGCTGACACCATGGCACTCTAGCAAGGGCAACAAAGTGAGACTCTCTGTCTCAAGAAAAAAAAAAAAAAAGAAAACAAAACAAAAAGAATACATTCTTGGCCAGGTGAGGGGATCATGTCTGTAATCCCAGAACTTTGTCAACATAGCAAGATGCCATCTCTACACAAAAAAATAAAATTAAAAGTAAATTAGCTGGGTGTAGTGATATATGCCTGTAGTCCTAGCTACTCAAGAGACTGAGGTGGGAGGATCACATGAGCCCAGGAGTTTGAGGTTGCAGTGAGCTATGATGATGCAACTACATTCCAGCCTGGGTGACAAGAGTGAGACTCTCATCTCTAAAAATAAAAAAAAATTAAATACTAAAATTTTTTTTAATTATTAAAAAAATACATTGTTAATACCTAGCAAAACACCTTAAATTCTTCTCTTCCTGTGTTCATCCTTCTTTGTATTTTCCACAATGTTGCTGTTCTTCAAAATATTGTCTGATTTATTATTAAAACACACCTTCCCTAAAGCAAGATCACTTGGTTCTTAACTCCTTTTGTCCTCCTTGGTTCTCTGGATATATTATTTTTCTTTTACTAGAAATCTGGGTTTTTTCTGAGTGTAAAAGCTCCTAGCCTATATTCTTGTGATTTTCCCGGTCCTTAACTTTTTTTCACCTACTTAACCTGATAAGCATAGTAAAATAATCTAGAGCCAAATAGGAGGGTAGAATATTTTTTATGAGTTGCAAGAGAAGACAAGTTGGGCATATTAAGTACCTTATTTTTTTGTTCTAGTTACATTCCTGCATGGTAAAGAATTGTGATCTCCATACTCTTCTTTTAGTATTTGATGAGCATGTTTATATTCATTGTTTCAAAGAAAGCTTTTCAGAAATTTAGTTATGAGAACATGTCAAAGTTTTATTTCAAACTTACTGCCAGGGAGAAAAATGAACCAGACTAATTTGAAGATTCTTTTCTTCGTGGAGACATGTATAGGAAAAGAAGTGTGGTTAGATGAGCAAGAAAAGAATATCTTGTTAAAAATCTTTAGACTCTTGACTGTCAGCTGAGTAGGTAGATAACTAAGTTCCCAGAAGGACTTTCTTAAGCTTTTAAAAATTCATCCAAAATGGATTATGCTTTTTACCAGGAACGCTAATTTCTTCCCAGAAGGAGTTTATGAAAATATCACACAAAAGTTCTGTTCTAGACAGTATTTGGAACAAAACTGTTTTTTTTCACCATACTCTATCTCATATCACACTTCTCTTCAGTTTCTGCCTTTATGCCTTTGCTCATATTATTCCCCTTACTTTAAAAGCTTTTATCTTATATCTACTTCTCACCTACCCAATCCATTAAGGATTAAGCTTTATCTTTTCTATCAAGTCTTTGTTGACTTCAACCTTCAGTGATAACTACTTCTCTAAATTTGTAACTTGTACAAACAATTTCTTGAAATAATGTTCAAAGAAATCGGCTTGAAATAATGTGGTAGACACAATAACATTATAAGAACTCGGTGTACCAAAAACTGTATAAACAGCTGAAAAAAGTACTTTTTTATTCCAATCTACTATTGAACTATAGGAAACTAACATATTCATTATAATAAATATTGTACTTTTATTCTGTTTCTGTTTGTTTACTCATCTGTAATATAGAGGTTGAATTTGATCTCTGCTGTTCCACTAAACTCCAAGATGCTGTGATTAAATTTTGTTCATCTTTTTAAATTTGAAGGGGATTTTTTGGGGGGTGAAGTGATTTATGTGACTGATTTACATTTATCTAACTAAAACAAGCCAATGAACAAAGTCTTTCCATGGTGTTGCAATATGGGGGTGCTCAATCGTTTATCTTTCCTTCTATTTCAATCAGTTGAAAAATAGATATGGAGAACAGAGGGGAATGAAAACTTCAATTTTATTGAGGATAAAACCAGATGGGGGGAAAAAATCCCAGATGGGAATACGAGGATACAACCCGAGTACTAAGTGGAACTTTCTACTTTATCTCCCCTAGAATACTCTCCTACCAGATTTGGGCCAAGTAATATCTATCTAGTCACAGTCTGAGAAGCTAGAGCAGAAACCTGAATAATCTTTAGGTTTCTTCTGTTTATGGATGAAGGCACGTTCAAGATGCCTGTCTTGCTTTTGAGTGTTATCTATTGGTAACGCCACTACTTTCAACTATGAGGTAGCATCTGTGAGGGGGATAGAGAAAGAGGCAGAAGTTCTTCCTCAGTGTGGAATTGATGTCAGAAACTTTCCCTTCCATAGATCAAAGTGATAATGAAGAGAGGAAAAGTTTTCCCCTCCAGTGGGAATTTGTAAATTGGTACTTTTTCCTTTCTTGGTCTCTCTAATTTGCAGGAGCATCCAGAATCATTGACTTCTTAGGTTTTTGTAGTTGAAATTTTCTTTATAGATAGAGTAATAATTATAGCATTTAATCATCTAAAGTCTCCTTTAGAGACTTTCGAATACAAGAATTTTGATAATTTCATCCTTTTGTAAATTTTGTTTTCTCTCTGCCTATTCTTGTCCTAATCTACCTCAAAATCAAGACAGCCTTGAAGAAGGTAAGAATGTTCAAATGAGCTGATGTGTTGCTATGAGCCTCTTCTATTTTTTTAAATCACTGATGCTTATAGTGGTATTTTTTAAAACCACCAATGAATAGAGCTACAGTTTTCCCTTCTAGATTCTTTACTGAATTACTAGACACATTAGTGCCAAACAGAAAATCCCCAAAGGTACAAGTGAAAGGTGATAAAAAGTAAAGTATATGCTTTTATATGATACCTTTAAAAACAACAAATGTTCATATCATATATTTAACATTTGCCATCTTAGG